GTTCTTACTAAAAACAACCCTACTAGTATACATATTAATGTGGTTCTTATGCACTACAGAATGTTAACACTACTCTAATCTTTGTATTTTTGTTGCTGCTCAACTTCCTTGTGCTGCGTTGATGACCTTAATTCATCATTATCAAACGGTAAGACAACTACAGGGGCTGCAGGCACGGAATCCCAGCGCTCTCTCAAGAATTTCATGAATCTCTTTACTGTTTCCTGTCGAAACTGAAGCTCGCGTGTGAATAAATCAAAGATTAGGACAGATATTACATACTTGAAAGGAACAATAAGGAGTATAATTGCAGAAGACAACACCACCAGAGCAACTTCAGTGGTTATCTGCAAAAGACATTTAATGAAGATATTAATAATATCTTTCGATACAAGGTTTCTAAAGCTAGGAGAAAAATAAGGTTAAATTAGAAGTTGAGTCCAGACCATTGTATCTAGTAAGTTTCTAAATTTTAAAAGATGTCCAATAGGTTTTGAACTTTTAATTTTATATCAAATTGGATCCATGAACTTTAAAAATGTCTAATAAGTCTCTATATCAATTTTGTGTCTAATAAATCCCTAAACCGTATTCCACATTTTTTTAGAATTTACCGACTGAATTTTGTGTCTAATAAGCCCTGACCTTTTCATTTGTGTCTAATATGTCCATGAATTATAGGTCTCGGACAATTTTGACAAAAAATTGAGAGTTCAAAGACACTTTTAAAATTCAAAAGACCTATTAAACACTATTTAAAGTTCAAGAACCTTTGTGTCGAATAAGCCCTGACCTTTTCATTTGTGTCTAATAGGTCCATGAATTATAGGTCTCGGACAATTTTGACATAAAATTGAGAGTTCAAAGACACTTTTAAAATTCAAAGACCTATTAAACACTATTTAAAGTTCAAGGACCTGTTAACCAAAAAATATAYAGATTCGGAGACTCAATGAAACTCTTCTACCACTAATGTTCTCAAACTCCATCAATGTAAAAAAAACTTGGGTTCCACAGTGAAACATACCTGAGTCTGACCTGCAAGTATAATCGTACGCATTTTGAGGAGTGAGACATTCACATTCTGCAAAAAATTTTCCACATCCCGCATGGCATCTTTTACAGCCATAATTTTTTGAATGGTATTAGAAGGTGGCTGATCATGGATGGTTACTTTTCCGAAAGATCGGCCAAGGCGACCTTGCTGCTTGAGTCCTTTCAATGTCAGCATTCCAGCCGCCACCATCATTAATGTCGTAGGAAATACAAGTGATAGCAAGTTTCTGTCAACGAATCAAGATGTCAACTCCAACAACTAATGATGGAAATAGAGACGAACAGGAAATAAAGAAAATAAAGAAAAAAAATGGGGAAAATGATAAGGCAACCATTGTTAAGAAGATTATCAAAAATCTGAGGGATCAAATAGACACGGATAAACATTCATACTCAAGTAGTAAACTTTATATTAGTTGGACTGGAGCTGAAGTAAAACGTAAACTTTTTATCTAACAAAACAAAAACTACTCTCCCCTGACCCCTTAGTAGAAGGATGAAGTTTGGTGAAAATACCAATTAGAGGGTACTTTTCATTTTTATCTTGGCTATAGGATTAAAAGCACTTTCAAAAATTCTAAAAATATCCAAAAGCATTTAAAGTACTTTAAACGGAAGCACTTAATTAGTGTTTTTCTAAAAATGCTTATAGAAAAAGTGTTTCACTTAAAGCGTCATCATCAAAAGTCATCTCAACTAACCCACTAGTTTATTTCGGGAACCAAACCAATAAAGATAGAACTTTGAAAAGGTATTAAATATTGACATATAGTTAAGGACCACATAAATAGATTAAGAAATATAGGAGGCTGATCAGAAAACTTAAACAAGGCCAGACAATTTATTGATGGACTACGGATGCACTTCCAACAGATCACATCCTCTGCATTTCCAAAACTTTCGGGCAATTTAAAGGAGCTAGCTATCAATTAAGACAAACTGACAAATGATTAAAGTCGATACGTGATACTTCTTAGAAATTATACCTGAAGATAATTGTATATGCAACTGCTAGAAAGGAAACAGTCAAGTATGGCTCCTCCCAACGTCGAAGTTTATTGAAGCCCTTGGCTATCATGGTTACAGGAAGTATAAGTTCCTGCCAGATGCAAAATAAAAACACATTTTCACGGTTTGCGAAGAGAGACCTTAGACCATATATAAAACCCAACATAGACAAACAAGGTCGATAACTAAATATGTGAAAAATTTAATTGACCAATATCTGGGGTCTTTTCTGCTCTACCACTTCATGAATTTAATTGATCCATGTCTTGGGACATCCTGTACCGCTGTTAAGATACTCCTCTTTCTTATTTGGAGAGATAATAAAAAGAATAGGTAAAGCATAGATCTCATATTATCATGAGGAAGAATGCATACGATGCACCATAGCCACAAGAAGAAAATAAATTAGCAAGTAAAATTGCGTATGCGTAATAATATAAGATGGAATGTATATATCAAAAAATAACCAACTTGAACGAATAAAATACAATTACAAATTATCTTTTCATCACATTTGCACAAATATGATATAAAAGCTCAGACGATAAGTAAAAAGTAGTCCCAAAAATTGATAGACGACGAAAGAATGAAAAACATCGTAGAGACCTTCAATCAAAAGAAGCAAGGATGATTCATGATATAACAATTAATGAAACTTAAAAAGGCCACTGAAAATTCCAGGAGACAATTTTAACGCATTTATTGGCCTGGAGCTATCAAGTTTAAAGAACTGGAGATAAGTTATTTGTATGAAATTTTGGATGTGTAAACTTTCCGTCACCCGAGTGCAAAATAAAAGCAGAATTAAGATAAATAAAAATATATGTATTTAGTAAAGAATCAGAAGAATGAACTTTAAAGGATGAGAAGGAAAGAGAAAAGTAATATTGAAACACGACCTTGAAAAGATCAATATTACTAGGTATTCCTTTAATCATTGCAGAATCAATTGTAGCTTGAGTTTTTTCAGCCACTTGGCGTCGCTGTTTGCAAGTTTCAGCTGCCCTTTCTACTAGGGACATTCCTGCTACAACAAGATTTTTACTCAATATAACCCCTTCTCTCACTGATGCATTCTTCCAGAATGAAATGGATGTACTCGTATCCCAGGAGGGAGATTTCATCCAATTACGTAGGTAAACACTTCCATCAGTGTCAAACACGTGATGACCACCTTCATACACCTCGTCTGATGATCTTGCTGTTTGAACTACCTGATTGTCCTCCGCAAGAAAGTTTGTCACCAAGGGCCCACCCCAAATGTTCACAGCCAATGTCTGACAGACAACATCACCATAGGGTGCATTTTGTAAGAATGAAAATGGCACAAGTTTTATTGGATCATCCAATAACTTTCTCATAAACTGAAGGGCCTGAAGTCTAGCTATGCTATTAGTTGCATTAGTCATAGCCCTTTCGTTTCCTTTATGAGCACCATACACGTGAAAGCGTGATTCATCATTATCCTCAGGTCCATACTCACGTATAAACTTATGTACAGCAACAACTTCACTAAAAAATGCATACCAGACGTCTCGCCTCATTTCACCTCCCAAGTCAACAAATTCTAAAACCCATGTTTTCATCCTGTAAAATAATAACAAGAGGTAAAAGGATAAGTTAAATGAAAATTTGAGAAATACTACAATGCCATATACCATACTCAATTGCAATGACACTAAAGGCTTGGTGGAGTTCCAAATGCGAATATAGAAACTACAACTTTATGGTATTTTTATACGTAGAACATTAAACATAATTAAAACCTAAGTATAAGGAGAAAAAATCCTCGTTAAATCTACAATGTACATCATTGTAAAAAGTTCTAAGAGGAAAACAAATGAATACCTACAAGGCTAAAAACTAATTCAATTTTGAAGCCCATAAGAATTCAAATAGCTATGATGGGTGAAACGGTACAAAAGGTTCTGCTAAATTTTGAAAAATGTTTCCAGCCTGCATATTAATCAAGAAGAATATTTTCAGAATATTTCTATAAAATTACAATTAATTTACATAATACAGTCAACTCCAGTAAATATATTATATGATTTCCACCACTTCATCCCAAGTTGGTGAGACAACATTCTCCATGCCAAGCCATTCAAACCGTTCATTGACAAATCTGCTAGTTTTCCATTTGAAACAAATGAACCACAAACAAGTCCTTTATTAAGCTTATCTTTTAGGAAGTCTCAATCAAACTCTATGTGCTGGGTGCTATCATGTAGCATACAATTGTGGCCTAAGTTGATTGCTGATTGTTGCTGTCAAGTCTCACTGGTCCTTCTCAGGTAATTTGATAAAACATTATATAAGTATGTAGTAACTGCATTGCAAATAAGTCTCCCATCTTTCATTTGGAAAAAAAATGAAAAGTCAAGGGTCTTACTCTGAGCTGGATGATACTGAAACAGCAGAGTCAAAAAGTACAGAGCCAAAAGGTCCTACTTTTGCCTTGTCCACCTGCACTCCATCTTTTGTAAGGTCCAATCTTGCGACATCTTTCTGCTTCTGCCCAAATATTCCAACTGCCTGTACCGATCCAAAGAAATGAATGATCTGAAATGAAGATTGCTTTAACACTAGAAACGCTAACACTTTATTTTAGATAAAGTGTTCATGATGTATGATGTATTTCACCTCAATTTCTTTTGCTTCCAATTTAATTAGTTCTATGCACATTTTTGCAGGCTGCTTATGGTTTTTATTTAGAAAACATTCACTCTTAGATGACGTCATGAATTTAATTAATTCAAGATTTTTTAAAAAAGCACAAGTTAACTAACATTATCCAATATAAGTTGATTCATATATCGTACATTCGTACTTAGCTAAACAATAAGGTCAGTACAAACATGTGTGGGCTAAGAAAACACTATGAAAAGATATTCAAACTTTAAAA